TTGGATATTTTGAGTATGTCAGCTGTCTCTCACTATTGGCTTCTAGTGGGTAGAGGCCAGAGGTACTGCTAAACATCTTCCAATGCAATGCATAAGACAGCCCCACAGCAAAGAATGATTTGGCCAAAATGTCAATAGTGCAAAAGACTTCATTTTTGATACATTCAATGAGTCACAGGATCTCCATACGATGCACAAATCTTTCTTTGCATTTTGGTCATGTGCTTACCTTTCTTGAAATAATAAAGCATACTATGCTGAAAATGTCATGTATTTTCCTCCATCTTCAATATTAAAATGGCTGCACAAAAATCCACCAATTCTGATAAGGTTTTTTAAAATGTACTCTAAGACAATTGTCCCAATGCAGTCTAACAAAATTGTTTCTAATGAAGTTAAAGACAACTAAGCACTTCTAGAGCCAGCGTACAGAAAAAACTAAACGAACTTTTTGGCCAACCCAACAGTTCAGCTCCAGGCCCAAGAAAAGCAGCAAAACCGACTGCAGTGCCTAAAGACCTCCGCCCTGTCACTGACCAATCAGTGGAGACCACAACCCCAAAAGGACATGCCTGTAGATCTGATGAATAAAGTATTGAAACCTCCGCTGAGACCTCCCCTAAGATTCCCACCTGTAAGAGAAAAGGTCCTCAAGACAAAGGACCCAGCACACTCTCCCTCTGGGGTGCAGCCCCCGCCATTCCCTTCTTCCTCCCCCACTTTTCTTTACAGGTGCGCAGCTCCTAAACTCTGAGGCAATGTGCAGCTGGCAGTTTGACCCAGGTTGATCCCCTGAACCTGTCCCTGATACCCCCTTCTCTGACTTCCTACTGGGCTAAGGCAGATCACCCTCAGCTCTCCTGTTGCTTCTTCCATGCTAAGCCCTTCCTTGTTGCACCATCTCCAGCTTTAATAAATGTACCCTCACAGTCACCTGGACTCATGTTGTGAAGTCTTCCCTGCAGGAAGTCAAGAACCTACATGCTACAGCTGGCCCTCTCACACCCGCTAGGACCAGGCCCCTGTCCAGTAACAAAATGACTGTTCTTAAACTCAGCTTTAAGGATGCTCACTCCTCTTCAAGCACGTCTACAGTTGTGTCCAACCAGGTGGCTGAATGGTGACAAAGTCTGAGGCTGTCTCAGTTGCCTCCTTCCTATCTAGTTATCTTTCCTCTCCACCATACACTAACCCAGGTGATGTTCGGTGACTTACTGCTACAGTTCCTTCTCATGCCCATGAAACTTTCCTTTCCCCTGACACAGGTATTTTCTGCCTTTCTTTAAAAGCAAAGTCTAAAGTTAACACAGTTTTAAAGAGAGGGGTATCATGTCTCTTTTCAGACTTTCCATGCTGCATTTACTTCTATGTTGAAAATAGAAAAAAAAAAAACCCTGACAATTGTTTTAATTGGAAGGAACTTTGGTATTCCCCAATCAAATCCACTACTTTACCAATGGAATCACTTAATTCCAGGGATATTATTATAACCTATAAAAACAGCTGAAAAGGGGGAGAGGGATCTGGAACCTAAAATCTCAGTACTTAGCAAAATGATTGCTTAACATAAAACAATGAAATTTGTAAAATATTTACAATATGGTTAGTGTTTTTGGAAACACTGTATTCCTACCCCACGCCAAGAAAATAATATCACCAGTTTCAATTTGAAGTTTTCAAATGGCCATGTCATAAGCACTTATGTAAGAAGTTAGGGTAGCCACCATTATTTCAAACTCAAATTATAGACATTTCAAAATAATCAGAGGGTTTTTAGTCCTGTGTACTTTAAATTTTCAATATTATTTAAATGATTTAATTATTTTAATGATGTCCCAAAACATCTAAGCATAACATATAAAATAATGTTCCAACATGTAAGAATTCACAGTAATTGTGAAGTCACAATCACAGCTGAAAGAAATAAGCAGTCATATCCTGGTACATATGAAACAGCCAGTTGGGAGAGAGGGGCACCTGATTTACAGCATTTTCCAACATCCACAGTGCAAACAACTCCCCCAATTTCGAGTCACTAAATCTGTCAGGGATCACGGATGGAAAACTGGCCACCCAGGCTGGCTCCGCCACGCCCTACACAGGAGACCGAGAGTGTGCCCTTTTCCTTCAGAGTCTTTCGCACAGAGCTCACCGCTTCTTCATAACCCACCGTGCCCCACGCACGTCATGACCGGACAGCTATAGAGTATTTTGTTTACCTACTCAACTCTCTCTTGGGGTGGCTTCAATCTTTGTTTGTATGTAAATCAGCAAAAAACACATTTTACCTCATGACCCGCCCCATGAAGACACACGTGTGCAGCTTCAAGTGCACACACATAAACACGTGAAACAAAAACAGAAGCCCCCCTCGGTAAGACACACTCTGACTGACTGCAGTGCACTCACTAATAAGGGAATTTTCCATTCATCCTCCATTTCATTTTTTAATTTTCTGATGTTGATCCATTAAATCGGATTCATATCCCAGCAGTTGGATAAGGCCCCCAAAATAGGCTCTAAACTCATTTGTGTCTCTTCCCGTGTCTAGTAGTATTTATTGATGCCTAAGAAGGTTGAGTAATTTGCCCAAAGATGTACCTCCCATGGTGGATAAAGATCCCTTGAGGCAAAATCTAATTTGTTTACTCAGAATCAGGATATTCATGGCTTTACACTGGAAGCTAAGGGGTCCTCCAAGACAGCTTCGTCTTTGCCAGAAATTGACAGAGACCTTCTGTAAAAATTAGACTGACCCCACCATAGATGAGAGTTTGGCCCTATGTCTAACCCTGTCTGTTGGCCTACGATGACCAGGCAAATCACAGTGATCACCATTTCCCACTTAATAACAGCTCCCAAGAGTGTTGGAAAGATACCTATCCCATTCACAAAACATTTTCAATCCTCTATGGAAAGGAACTATATAAATGCTAATTAATAGTAAATGTATTATATACAATATGCATACATCTGTATATAATATACATTAAAAGCAGTTTTCTAATAACCAGAAACCAGTGACTTAGCTGGAGAAAATACTTACTCAGGAAAACAAAGTCTGGATCCAGGGCCTTTTGTCCTGTGTTCTCATGCACCACATGCTTGTTTATATGTGCTATTAAATGCACACTCTAGTTTCAACACAACCCAGATAAGCATCTTCACTAAAACACACAACACCATTAATCATCTCAGTGACGGTGCTCCAATTTAACATCTTGGGGATTTCCTCCCCTTCTTCATCATTTCTTTGCCAATATTTCCTTGTTATGAATATCCCCCTAGTGACTTCGCCTGGCAGTCACAGCTGTGCTGCCGACTGTGTCTACCTTGACTACAAATAACACCAATTCTTTTTTAAAAAACCAGCCTACAGATAAAACCTACAGTTAGAAGGAAAGCCTTGCCCGGGCCAGATTCCTGATGACCTCCTCTGGGCGCCTCGCCTTAAACAGACAAACCTCAGCCTCTAAGCCGGTAGTAACTTCAGACACGTGAAACTGGCTTAATTACAAACGAACGACAGTTGGCTGCTGGGCTCCAATTACTTGGTTGGTCAATAATCAACCGCTGCTTTAAGACAGTCCTTAAAGGACCCCCTTCTTATACAACAAAAGGCTTCTTCAAAGCATCCATGAATCACCACAAAGCCACAATATCATTAAAAATTATGGAAACCTGACCACCACGGGCCACAATAAATGTGACTCTGAAATAACGGGAATTTTTAACATAATAATCAAAAACAATATTGCATTATAATTACACCAATTTTAATGAAGAGAATGGCGCTACCTAAGCAATAGATTACAAAGAACTAAAGCCAGAGACAAACAGGCAGCACAGAAATGGGGACGCCAGTCCTGCCCAGTATCTATGTTGTATACATTTCAGAGAGTGGCCTTCACTGACCGGCTCCAGAATTCCCTGATCATCTGTGAAGTGGAAACCATTCAAGCAAACGCTCCGTAAGCAATTGGAGGAGTAAATAAAAGAAGAACTCACCAACTTGCATTCAGAAACAATTGTTAAGGAAAAGGGTATTTTTTTTTCAATAATGAAACTACTGCAAAGGAATTTAAGAGTTTCTGGACAAAAACACACCAAAGTATATCTACAAAATATATCTAGAAGGGATAGTGGCTTCAATGAAATAATGTTTACCTTACTGTACATTTTTTAGGGAAATTTAATTAATATAGTAATGGCTAATGTTGCTTCAATTAATATTCCATAACTTTTCTGAAAAGCATAAATTTTATCTTTTTCGAGAAGATTCTGATTTATACTATTGTTTAAAAAAACAAAAATCTCTCTTCTTAGCCAAAGCAATACAAAGCAAGCTAGGATATAATAAAATGCCTCTCCTCCCCAGAGCAGAGTGTTTACTTCAGAGAGAGTAACAACACCTTCTCAACAACAGTGCAGATTCTGTTAAGTAATGGACAAAGCAAATGACAGCAAAGGCAGAGGACTCGACTTCAATTTAACTGTCCTGTAAGGTACATAGTAATTAGCTGCAAAGCTCTGAAATCTTAGCTAGCATGTTAAATCTGCTACATGACAGTATAATTTGACTTCTTAAAGGATTATGCAAATTACAACTCATCATTCCATTACAGAATTGAAAAAAAGTGACAGCTAATTTATACATAACACACCTTTCAAATCCCTAAGATGCAGAGCACCTGTGCAATGTATTTTGCTGAAATTTCCTTGCATATAAGTATTTGTTTATTGTGATAAAAGAAGCTTATCTAAGAGCTTTAATATAGTCACTTTTAAAAACTCTTAGACCACAATTTCAAAAGCATAAACATTTTCTGTCTTGATTTCAGAGACAAATATTTTGGTTGTTTTTATTTGATTTGGTTTTGTTTTTTTCCCCCATTATTAGAAAAATATAAGGTTTCAATACAAGTATATTTTTTAATAGCTGGCAACCACAAGCACTGATGCACGAGCCAGAAGGAAGACTCACAAAGATTTCAACATACTTCTGGTAGGTAGATTCACAGTAGATTCCGTCATATCTGTAGATTTTCCTACATTCTGATTGGTTGGGCAGAGGATGCTGGGCAGTTATTCTGTAGAGGCATCAAAAACAGATATACATGACTAGAGGTTCTCTACAGTCAGCGGGAATGCAGGATAACAAGTATGTTGAAGTTTAATATAGTTTGCTTTATATGCTTTTCAGCTATATATACATAATTGCAACGTGTACATATACTCTAGAACATTAACTTCCACTTTTAGAAACCTACAGCAGGGAAAAGTTTTCAGTTGGTCATCAGAACAAAAACATTATTTCTTATCTCAGAGTCATGAAAGTGGAAGAAAGACAAAAGGTCTTAAGCTTAACTCACTCTACAATTCCCATGACTATATTCTAAAGAAAACGTTCAAAACAAATGTCATCAGTTTTTGCTTTTGTTTTTGTTTTTGTTTTGTTACAAGGTTGTCATTCATTCAATCATGCATTACCACTGTAGGCAACTATAAATTAGCAATAAAACTTAGTAAAGTTAATATATCAGATTTACTCAATTTATATGGTTGGTATGCTACTGACTTCTAAAAGGATATCACACAGCTTACGGAACTATACCCAATTAGGGATGAAGACAGGAGCACAGCCGTCGGGAGCACGGGGGAGCTGTTAACTGGCACCTGAGAGGAGCCGATTACAAAGGCTCCAGGTTGCATGGCAGATAAGCAAAAGGGGGAAAGAGACTTATGGGCACAGTTTTCGTCTGTGTTACTTAAGCATATATAATCATCAGAGATTCCCTGCTATAAATATAAAAACGCTGGGAGTTTTTTGACCATTTCCTTCAACTGACAATCTCTTCCTTTGGTAGAAAAAAGTCTTTAAGAAATCTGTCATCTCTTTTAGAGGAAAATAGTGTAATGCAATCAATACATAATATCAATAAGAGTACCAAGCCCTTCATTCGAATCAGAAAAGGTAATATAGTACCTAAACCTTTAACATATATATGTATTTAATGACTTCTTAATTATTTATTAACACATAATGGATTCTTGTTATTTTGTAAAAACTCGGGTGACTCTTCCCAATACTCTGGAATAGAATATTGTTACTTAATATTTCATAAGGCCCAATATCCTTAATGATAATACTTTTAAAAAATTTAAGTTCTACTTTCAAACTTTATTTAGATGTATTCTTATATATTTTTAATGCATTAATGTTACATTCAGCCTATACCCAAATCTCTTATTAAATTTAGTGGGCCAAGAGTTTTATATATAACTGGGCATCTGCCCCTTGTTTAAAATGATTTCTAAGCCCTTTGTTGATTAGTGTATTGAATTTATAAATACTCATATTCATTAATTATCACTAGAATTTCAAAGATTTCCATTAACCCATGTTTTTTTAATTGTAAAGCTGATACAGAAGAGTAAGTGATATAAAAAAGCTTGAAATGAAGAGCAATTTTAAAAGATCAATAAGACATCCTACCTGACAAATTAATTTTAGCTATTAATTACGGTAAAATGAATTCTGAGAAGTTGTTTTGAGAAGGCAATGTTCACAGTGAGAACAGCTAAGTTACAGATTTTTTAAAAGAATTTATTTGAGCTGAGATCACATTGAGATACTCTATACTTCTGTTCAGTATCACTTCATGCTTTAAAATTGATTTCTTATATTTTGCTTTATATTAAAAATTAAAGTGCTGAAAAAGTATTTGAGGATGAACAATTTGGAGTGCTCAAAGAACAACCAATTTTACTGGTTCTCAACAACTCTGAAATGAACTAACTCACCCAGAAGAAGCAGAGAGGGGAAAAAAATATCAGGGAGGATGTTGTAAAGTACATCACTGTATGACCACTAGGCTGTATACCCTAAAACTAATACCAAATAATATTGAAAAATAATACATTTTAAAAATAAAGCAGCACAAGGACTTGAAAAATATAAATCAGTATCTAAAAGTGGTTAGTGCTTAACTCAAATATAGAACTAAATAAAAAAGGGACTGCCACCTTTTTTTTTCCACAACAACAAAGGTTCTCATGAAGTTTTCATTTACATTCCATGTACCACAGAGGAAATTGTCAGGTTTAAAAAACAACAGACAAAACATCCACAGGAATCGGCCCCCAAACCATCATTTACTTAACACTCTGTTTCACCTTTATCACTGCATGTTATCCACAAAAAGCTCCTGAGTTCATTTTCTTCCCCTAATTTTGTTGTTAAAGGTTAAATACTTCCAGGAAAAAGTTCAAATATGTCTTTCAATCGTGAAACTATCATGAACTGAGGCTTCTGCCTGTCAAACAATCCCCGCTCCTTCCCTCTACGCCACTCCTCTCTATATGGACTCATCAGACAGCTTGAGGTACGACTTAAGTGCATTTACATACGTGTGAAACGTGTAAGCTATGACTAATTTTAACTCACAGGGCAGAATTTAAATAATTAGTTACAAGAAGTCACACTAAGGGAAAAAGGAGGAAAGAGATGGTTAGAGGCAGAGTAGTAAATTGTTCCATTTTTGCAGGTAATCTAAATGCAAACTAGAAGCAACTTATCATGAGAATGGATTTTCCACCATCTGGTCAAATAACAGGGGATTTGTCTAGTGGCAAGCAAAGAATGGAATGATGTGAGAAAGATTAGCGGGCAAGTCCTACAGTTGGCTAAAATGTATTTTGTGCAAACAAGAACAGATGACGCCTTAACAATTACACCTGTCAAAAACTCCAGAAAGCAATCCATCTCTGAACAGCCCAGTTGAAAACAGGCTAGTTCATAACAAAATGAATTTTTTTTAAACAATTGCCAGCCATAACAGTTTGATGCATGACAAGCTTAGGAAGTCACATTTCACGTTCAAGTGAAACCTTAACTAACTGGACCCTGTTTTCCAGTGATAAGTAATATATTACCCCCCCCCAAAAAAGTGTCCAGCTAATATAAATGCTGGCTTCAAAAATCACGAGAGCAAGAAAATTCCGAATTACAGGCAAAATATCAAAAGTAAGAAATGGCCGTGAACTTAACCTTTGTGCCTAGGTTATTGCTAGCGGCCTAGCAAAGTGGATCCTTTCCTGAGGCAAACGTGGCCAAACCTCACTCCCTTGCTGCAGTATCATCAGAAACAGAAGCAAGGATTGAAGACCTGATAGAAGCCAAATTCCATCAAGTAGGGAGTGAAGAACCTAACACATCATCTTTTTCATCTTTTTAAAGAGGATTTCATTTTCTAGTCATGGTGCATAAATGCTGGCCATTCTCTGCAGTTAACAACACAGTTGTTTCTTTTTTCTTAATGTGTTGTTTTGGAAGATATGTGAGCATCTCTAATAACCCAGCCTACCTCATTTTATATTAATGTTTACCTTTGGACTTGGACAGTCTCTATCACGGTCCCCGGAGACTCCATGATAAGGCACACAGGTCAGTTCCCCAGGGATTAGAGTGGTTTTGTTGGTTGTTTACAAACAAAACCCCAGCCTGCAGACTGCGGCAGTGGTGTTTCTGTTAGGTCCTTCTTTGGGAATATTTAAAGTTTACTCAGCCATCTTTTAAGGACATTTCTGAGGATGGCAGTGAGTCTCTGCTACTCTCTTGGGGATTCCTTTTTCCTAACACAGGTGTCAGAACCGCAAGTTTTATGACTATTACACCATGATAGCTTCATTTGAAAACCTATAATTTTGAACAATTTTACTGAATTGGGGTTGAAATTTATTTATGTTTTGGTTCTCTTAAACTAGTATGCTAAATAACCAGTTTTGCCTACAATTTTACTTTTCAACTCTTTGAAAGTTGAGGAACAGAATCTTTCCAGCAAGGAATTTGTACTCTCTGGTTCCCCACAGCAGGGTCAAGGGCTCCACGAATGGCAGTGACTAAATACTTCAGGGTCTCCGGCGATTATGGAGATTGAAAGCTGCATCAATCGCACCAAACAACATTTTTTGGCCCATAGAATTCTAATATGGTTATTCATTCATAGCTACATATGCAATGGAACAGGGGTTGTGGTGTTTTTAAAATAGATAGTTGTTCAGAAGGTGAAAAAATGAGTACAGTGAGATGTCACAGCAAATGCCGCTGCAGTGAAGAATTCCAGCTGCACAGTCCGAGTTTGGTGGATCCTAGCTCCCCGACTCTGAGAGCAGTGTCTGGCCAGGTTAATACCCATTTCACAATGCACTTTGGAGCATTAAAAGAGGTCACTGGAGCCCTGGCTGGTGTAGCTCAGTGGATAGAGCACGGGCCTGTGAACCAAACAACCGCAGTTCGATTCCCAGGCAGGGCACATGCCTGGGATGCAGGTCAGTTCCCAGCAGGGGATGCACAAGAGGCAACCATACATTGATATTTCTCTCCCCCTCTCCTTCCCTTCCCCTCTAAAGATAAATAAAATCTTTTTAAAAATTAAAAAAAATAAAAGAGGTAATTGTATAAACTGTTTAGCCAAGAACTGGCATACTAAGAGAACACAATAAATATTTGCTTTTGATAATAATATGATCCTCCTAAATGCCAAAGTTGGCAAACACATTGTAGGATCAAATATTTTTATAAAGTATAGGCTGAAAATGGAAGACTACAGATTCCATTCTCTACTTCTCTTGCACTGGGAACTTTAATACTTTTACTCTGATGCTTTAATTCTTGTAATAGGCTTGTTCTTGATAGACTTCTGTTTCATGATAATCTATAAGCTCTAATGGTGATATAATTAGCATAACATTTCTCAAAATATATTTGCTTAATAAATGAATTTCTATTATTAGCAATAATATGTTAAGTTCTAAGCCCTCCCCTTTAAGAGGTACACAGATAAGGTGGAACAAAATTAGGGGTGAAGAACAACAGAGTGAGAGATCAGTAGCCAGAGCAGACAGTGCACCAGTGAGGGAACAAGATCCTCCGAAGAAAAACACAGGGATCACTGGGCTTTAAATGTTTGAAATGCTGGACTGGAAAAGCTATCTGTGTGCACAGAAAGGGCTGATGTCCTATGGATAGAAGACATTAGAAGACAGATTCCAGATTAAAATAAAGGAAAATTCTGAATGGTTAGATCTA